ACAAAGGTTATTCAAAAGTAGACCAATGAACAATCGACCATGCCAAACAAAGCCCAAAACATCTAAATTGCATCAACTTACAACGACAGTCGGCCAGGCTGACCCAATCCTTGGGCACAAACATTAAGGGATTCAGACACTCGGCCCTAGCGCTCGGATTCTTGAAAAATCAAAAACATTCCAAACATACAAACTACGTGGCAACGTAAAGGAACCAGAATATTCGGTAAAAGGATGAACAAAAACTAATCTATTAAAAATTCGAAGCCTGATCAGCAAAGGGTTACATGAACAAAAGTAAACAAGGCGCCACATGCCTGAAAAATCTAAGACAGTTAGAAAATACACAAAAAACTAAGGTTCGGCATGACCCGTTTAATCCTATTGGGTCAATTGATCCCTAGTCAACCCGACTTCCTTTTCTTGGTCAACTGACCTACCAGCAGCAACTGCATCCTTTTTAGACTCGGACAAGCTCGCCAAAGCCTCATCCTAATCTTCAACAAATTCTGTCTGATCTTTCGGATCAGAATCGACTAGCCCGCTTGGCTTTTAATCATTGGCACCGGCCACCTCAGCCTCTATTTCCTCCTATAGCTTGATGTCACCATCTAGATCCTAATGCACAATCTTCCCAACCTTGTATTCCTTCATCAGTTTGGCGCGGGCCTTAATCATTGCATCCTCTGCGATGAACTTGCAGCGCTCCTTGAGTGCGACCGACTCTTCCTCTTTCTCGACCAGTTTTTTCTTCGCATCAGAGAGCGCCTTCTCAACTTTAGCTAACACCCTCTTCAATTCAGCCAACTCTGACTCAACCTGCTTCTGTTTGGCAAGACTCTCATTTGCACTCTTCAATGACTGACCCTCTTGGTTCCTTAAACTAGTGTTAGACTTGGTTAATTCCTGGATTTGCACGTCCTAGACGACTGCAACCTTTTTCAAATAGAGTATCCCGCTCAAAGCCTACAAAAAATCTTGAGAGTTAGTTCCATAACTTAGCCAAAAAAGAATAGAAATTAAAAGGTATCTAAATTTGCTAAGTCACTGCCCACTCGATCGCAGCAGTCGCCCCCATTTGGTTTAGTCGGGGCTCGTCAGCCAGTAGCAAGAATGAGTTTGCCAAGATACCCATCCCAGTTGTATTAGAGTAAATTGAGGCCGTATTGGGAAAGGTGATGGTCACCTTTTCATCCTCGTCAAAAGGAACTTCCTTAGATGATTCGGCTCCAACTAACAATTGACCAACTACGGGAGTGGACTCGGTATGCTGAACTTGAACCTCACTCAGGACCAACTACCTCTTCCTCTTAGCCTTGCATTGGTCGGCCACATCACTCACATCCGGGATATCCACCTTCAAATTCCTCATCAGCCTCTTTGCAATGGAAAACTCCTTAGGTGTTAATTGATGAAGAAATGAGTGGCCGAATAAAATCTGATTGCTATAGTGAATCAATAGCACGTGCCACAGCTGCTTCGACAAAGGGAAAGGGATACCTCTTTGAACATGCTCCACTCTAGCCCACATATGACTCGTCCTTTGGTTGGACTCTTTCAAGATCACCCTTCAATCTCTCTCTTCCTTTAGAATGGCGAAGACTTGTCTTGTCCTCACGTCAAGACCGTCTCCACTCTGTCTGGCTCGGTTGAAGTCTAGATCTACAAAAGACAGAGAGGATAAGACTTAGTAATCACAAGTATAAGCAAGAATCAATCTCTCACCCGTGGCTCTCCATGTGTATGGTATCTCCCCCCAACCCCTTTCTTCGAATATAGCCTCGCCCTTCATGAAGAAGAACCGCTCCTTTCAGTTCTTGTTACTCGACCTTAAGTTTATCACCAAGTGGCATCGATCGTGCCTAAGGGTGATTGAATATCTACCCTTCTCTCAGTCGTGCTCCTTCAAATAGTAAGAGTACAGGAATTCATGCAGACCGAAAATGACTCGGTTCTGGACACATAACATTTCCAAGCACAATAACAGCCTCCAGGAGTTCGGCATGATCTGTGTTGGCGCGATCATAAAGTAGTTGAACACTTCTCAGACGAGTTGAGGTATGGGGAGGCGCAATCTATCGTGAAACCATATCTCATATGCGCTCACCCATCCCTTGGCCTCCTAGTTGACCTGTTCGTAGCTCCTCGGGATTTGGATCTCCACTGAATTGGGGATGTAGTATTGCATCCGAATCCGCCATTGATCATTCTCCTTAAGCAAAGGCGGATAATCGACACCTAAGATCTCGCTACCTGGTCGGCTAAGCTCTCGGAGCTATCTGACTCGTCCTCTGTCTCTTGCCCACTCGTCCCTTGCCTTTCCGAGCTGTCACTGCCTGACTTGGCAATACCACCCGGTTGGGAGACGGCTACATTTAGGCCCATGGGGACTCCAACTGGCACGTCACCTTCCTCCGGCATTACTACCATGGTTGGGGCGCTCTCATACTCGCCCCCCGAGTTCATCTCCATATGATGTTCCTCTCTCGACTCGTAATTTGACATTAGATGAATCCTTGTGATACCTCACTCAGCTTGGAGGACCGACCGAATGATTGAGAACAAGAGTTTCACTCGTAGGGACTCAGCTCGAAGTAAGACACCGAGATGAGTCGAATGGGACTACTAAGTAACTCGACTTCTCTTTCCTTCCACGAAACATAGAAAAACTCAAATCGTCAACGAACCAGTCAAATTTTGTAAAAAACACACTCCTCACTCAAAATTTTTTTCCTCTCTTTGTCAAACTCAAACAACAATTGGACACTACTCATAAACCGGAATCAACCAAAAACTTTACCAAACCAAACCGGAAATCTTATCTTGAGGAACCTCAGCTTGTTCGCCGCTAAAATGCACTGAAATCCCCTAAAATTGCCCTAAATTGTTCCTAGAGCTTTCGAAATCTAAAGGAAAATGCGAGAACTACACAGATTTGGAAAGAAATCAGAAATTTACCATGCAGAAAAAAGAACGAAAGTATTGAGTTGTAGAATTTCCTCTATGGACACGAGTTGCTTCTTGGAAGCGACAGTGAAGAATGAACAGTTCTAAACAACGCCTCTTCCTTTTCTACTCTCGCAACCTATCAAAAAGAGACATGTGGCCGCTAGCAATTGGGAGCGACCGCTCGAATTCCTACCCAGAGCATAGATGGAATCCCCATTGTACACGTGTCGTACGATAGGCTCAACGGAGGATTTGTGATCCTCTATTTTCCTCTCAACTTACTCTAAACCCTAATTACACGTGGCCCATTGCCAAAGCGTCACCAAGTCACTTAAATGACTCTACTTGACCAAACGAGTCGACCCAGTCTCAGCACGAAAGGCAAGTATTCCACGACCGATTATACCAATTCTTTGTCGTATTGGACGACCGAGTGCCAACAATGACCACACCTGGCATCCAATCACTCAACTCATCGAGTCAAGTGGACATAGCCCCAAGATTTGCACCTCAAGTCCTAACACTCCACTTAATCGACAGGATGGAGTCAACTGCACAAGAGTGTGATAGTACAACCTGTGGAAGCATTTCACATCACGCCTAGATGTAACAAATTCACCCAGTCAAGAAAGCACTTAGTCGCCTAGGCAGACCGCCTATAAGCATGATTAATCTCCTACCGAACCAACTACTCTCTAAGCTAAATACTTTTTAGCTTAGAGAGTGGGGGGGCTAACTATGGGGGTAAAAAATCACCTGGGCCCCTATCAGGCCCGGGCTTGCATCTTCTTTCACCAAGGCCCAAGGACACGATCCAGCTCTGGTTGGGCCAACACCGAATTCCGTGACTTGGGCCTAAATCCAGCATCCTTCCAAAATGGGCTTCGTCAACGGCCCACCAAAGGTCAGGCTTCTGAAACAAGGTAAGTATGATTCTTCCTATTTGGTTCTATCCTGATCCATCGAAGATTTCGTATCTTGGATGAATTAGGACTTCGCTGTTAATGAGGCAAGTGAATAAGGGTTTTCCTTATTCACTAGATCTCCTCCTATGTGGATTCCGAATCCTACTGGGATACGAACATCCCACAACTACTATATAGACAGGGGTCATCCCACTATTTAGGCATTTAACATTACACCTTCTAACCCCCATAGTTCTCATTCCCGAGAGCTATACTTCGTCTCCGTGGTCTTACTTCCCCACTAAACTATTGGTAACCCTTTCTTTCCCTTAACCCCCACTAAAAAGCCTTCATTATCCTTGTTGACTTGAGCGTTGGAGTGCCTACGGCAAACACCACCCTAGTGTTTTCTGTTCACTTCACGTTGGTTCCTTTGTGTGTGTGTAGGTGCAGCAGATCACAAATGACCTCAATCTCATGAGATTAAACCCTACTTCAGCAACCGTAGATTTTGACATCTACAATTACCTCAATAATAGGGATAACCCCCAACCCAACACCCCCTTAGAAGGTCATCATCATAGATAGTTACCCTTGATTGAGTTAACCCAATCTTACAGAGTCATAATTGTAGAAAGTTATTTGATAGTTTTCATAAATTACAAGTCCGCTTATATATAACAATCTCTTATAGGTAGAGAATAATAACCCCTGTTAGTAGGACAAAAGTATCCTTATACTTTTTAATAAAAGTAAATTTTATCAACTTAAAGGAATCATAATGTTATTACATAATTCTACAAGACTTGAGTGTTTCGGGTCCAAACCTTAGGAACCAAATTGATATTTTTTTCTGTATCCGAAGGTCAAGTATCTTATCCAGAGAAAATTCCTATAGTAAATATGTCACGTGAGCTTGACACAGATAAACATGATTAACATTTGCCACGTGTGACCTCTTCCAGCACACCTCCACGTCGTATAATCGTCATGTCATCATCATCATTATCGAACTGAAAAGCTAAAAAAGAAAAAAAAGCGGGCAGTTGGGACCCACATTTTCTTATTTCGTTTTGGTTAGAAGTGTGCACTGCTTAAGATAGCAGAATGAGATTGATCCCACTTCAATATTTATCCATTAAAACAAAAACAAAATATATTTTTTTTTTTTTTTTGGATAATCGGGGTGTCCATTTTTCTTTTCTTTTCCTTCCCTTTCTTTCTTACTGTAAGTTAAGTTAATCACCTTAAATCCAAAAAGAAAGAAAGAAAGACAGATGGGAAATGCAAGTGGAAGAGAATCAGAAGAAAGAGTTAATGCAATTGATCCAACAGTCCCAAGATCCAACGGTGAATTGGGTGTCCTTCTTGCTCCTCCTGACAACCCTTCTCCATCTCCTTTCTTGTTCACTCCTCAGGTCAATTTCCACTCTCCTTTGCTTTTAAATTTATTATTTTTAATCTAATGATTTCAACTTAGGTTTTTAGATGGCTTCCAAATTTGGGTTATGCTCAACTCAAGCTGTATATTGTTTATACTAACTTTGGTTTTGTGGGTTTGTTTTATAATTTGTGTTTTGTTAAGACCAATTAGACAATTTGGGATCTTTATTATTTACAAGTTTTGGTACCAACTGTTTTTGTTTTGTGTTTAAGGAAATGTGTTAATTGCTGAAAATGTTGAAAATTTTGTGAAGCTTCAGGAATAAATGGGTGTATAACAAATGGGATCTATGCGTGCAATGAAGATGGTTAAAGTGATGCAAAGCAAAGATTTTGTAAATTAGAATGTTAACTTGTTATTTTGATTAATATTATTGAAAGGTGTAGAGTGTGAGAAGTTCTTGTTTGTGCTCTACATTTACTTGCCTATGTTGCAAACAGTTTTACCATTTTTTATGTTTAGCAGTTGATATGATGAAGTGCTAACAGATTAATCTTACTTTACTTATTTAGTTGGTTTTCTTGTGGCAATATTAACACGAGCCTGTTGTAAGACCGGAACTGCTACCAACAGTTTTCAGTTTAGTGTTTTATAGGTAGTTTTCAATTTAAGTTGCTGCTGTACATGGATGGCGTGCTTAGCTGCACTTGACTGCCTTACAGTTTTCAATTCTTTTTATGAAAGCCCTGCTTTAGCTCTTGTTATAAAAGAACAGCACAGGGTTAGCCAAAATCTTAGGTTGAAATCTTAAGAAGTACGAAGATGAAATGTAGAAGAGTTTATTGTCTTGATTCTAGATGATGGGGAGATAATGAAGCTGAAATTTACTATGCTGCCTTTGCTTTGAAACTACGGAGTTTGAATTGCCTGGTTTATGGTATTTCTGCTGATATGCTGGTTGTCTTCCATTCATTGCAGGTTCCCATATCTCCCTTGCATAGGGTTGACAGCCTTCCCTTTTCCAATCAAATGTGGCAAACTGAGCCTCATGCATCTGGTAGTCCTCCAGAGCAAGGAATCCCCACTAGCATAGCATGGATTTATGGTGGTAATGAAGTGGCTGTCGAAGGATCTTGGGACAGGTGGACATCGAGGTAAGCTCCAGTCTTTTATTTCTTCTGCTGGGATGTAAACTTAAAAAAGTTCTTCATTTCAAGTATGCATATTTTGTTTTTTAAACATGAAAGCTTTAGATAATATTTTCACTGAGAACTATTGAATACTAATCTTTGTGCTAGAAAAGCCTGGGTGCAGATGAACAATAATATAGTCTATAACTGTTGATTGCAGGAAGATACTGCAGAGATCTGGTAAGGATCACTCAGTTCTTTTAGTCCTCCCTTCTGGCATATACCATTACAAGTTCATTGTGGATGGTGAGTGGAGATATATTCCAGATCTGCCGATTGAAGCTAATGAAGCTGGTGTTTGTAATGTTCTTGATGTTCATGTAAGTATCTTTCAATGCCAATCAGGTTGCATCTAGATCATCTGTATTTATTCTGTGTCTGGTGCTCCATTCTCTCCTGTCAATATTCATACATGTATGTGTGCTATAGATGGCTTCTAGTGTACATCAATTTGACATCAATACACACATGTAGAGAGAGTCTTGTGATGGGTAGTTGTTCTATGTTTGCAAATACAAAATCAGAGAGAGAATGGAGCAGCTGTTTGTGTGGTGTGTAAATGCCGACATGGCGTATAATTTTATATGCATATACTCCCTAGACAGCATACAACTGCATATATAATGGCAGATACAGAGAGCATAAGTGAAAATAGTGTCCTGGGTGAAGAGTTGAATGTTGTCCCTGAAATTGAAAGTTACATGTAAGCTTGTCTGTCAGTATGCACTTAAATATTTGCAGTAAATCAGTGAATTTATGTCAATTTAGCATTGGAGAATTTCAATGCCCAATAAAACCACACACAATATGATTTTTGTAATAACTTCAAGACCAGCATCATCTTCATTTCACATAATTCACGTTGAAAATAACCTGTACTTAAAATGTATGTTATAATTTTATTATGGAGTGTTTTGTTGAACTATCTGGTTTAAAAGTTCTGTTGAAGAAAAAATATATATATTAGACAAGCTTAAAAATTACATATATGAAAATGTGGCTAATGGATTTGATTCAGCAAATAAAAATCAGAGAAATAATCTGCATAGTATAATTTATGTGAAATATTAGATATGTATTGAACTTCTTAATCCAAATGACAAAAATTTGTGAGATGAAATTCTGCACAAATTTAAAAGGAAGATGAAAAAATATATATTATATTACGGTGATGCTAATATTTATCGTTGTTTAAAATGTTATTCAAGAATTCCATTGATATTACCATAATGTGTGTGTGTGTGTGTGTGTGTCTCAGTATCATAGTATAGAATGCCAAATGGTGGATCTCTAAATCTACCATTGGTTGGAAATGACAGATGCCAATAAGGCACAAGTCATTTTTCACCCCAAACCCCCTTCTAATGCGAAATGAGTAACACTCGATTACCATTTGAGACCTAACACAAAGAATATAGTAGTTTACTCTGAAAGTATCTTAATTTTCCAATTTTACATTGAATGAAATAGACCCTTTAATTAAATGGCTATGAGTTAGCTTGAAAGGTTAACAGTTGCCCTTTTTTTCTTTTTTCCCCCATACTGTTTTTAGACCATTTCCCTGTGATTGCTTGATTGAGAACATATCTTCAAGCACATGTGGCCAATGATGTCCTTGTCAATAATTGGGTTCCTGTTCTTTCTGGTTTTCTGCATGTCCTAATTGTGCCTTCTGCTTGACCCTTATAACTCGTATTTGGTACTGTCAGTAATCTTCTTGGATCAATAGGTTAGCTGCTTACGCATTATTTCAGCTTTTCTTATGGGAAATTTATACTGCAAATGATTACGGTTAGTAGGAATACTATTGAGAGGGGTTATTAGTAGATTTTACAGTTACCTGTTACTTGGTTGGCCTATTTATGCTTGATACCACATGATTTAGTATTTTATGAATAAAGTTATCATTGAAGGGATTCAGAAAAGGGGTTTACTGTTGAAGAAAGCTGCCGTGGGTTTCCTTCCATCTCCTTCAACCTTTTTTTTTTTTTTTTTTTAATCAGTCATATGACTAGTGTTAATCACTTTGTCAAGGCATCTGATATTGATGAGAATAACTAGGAACCTATTTGAAGTAGACATTTGAACTCTTTGGCAATGAATGTCTTTTAAGATTTTACAATGTCAGTTGAACAGGCATATTATTTAATCAATTGGACCTTTGTTTTATGGAGTTTTTTAAAACAACCCGTTTACTAGTGTTTTGCTTCATGAAAATCATCTTAAGAAGGGTATTAGACGTATAGTATAATTATTTTTATCTAAGCCGAGTATAACAGCCATATCAGGAAAGTTTGCTTCATTTTTCACCAAAAACTATTTTAAGGGGACAAAAGAGAAGTACTGACACTAGAAAACTTGCTTTTTTTTTTTTTTTTTTTTTTTTATCATCGACAATTATCGTCGATGCCTTATTATCCTCATTACATGTTGCAATCTGTGCAGAACAACGTGCCAGAAATCTTTGATAGCATATCGGCATTTGGGGGTCCGCCATCTCCAGACTCAAGTTATGGTCAAACAATGCCTTCAGAGGAAGATTTTTCTAAGGAGCCTGTAGCAGTTCCACTTCAGCTGCCTATACAGTTTGATTTGCAGAAGTCAGAAGAGGCATCATCTTGTTCAAAAAAGCCACGACATGTAGTGCTTAACCATATGTTCATGGACACCTCATACGCAGCGCAGTCAGTGGTCGCCCTTGGAGTAACCCACAGGTTTGAATCTAAATATGTTACTGTATTTCTTTATAAGCCGCTGAAGTTAGCAGTCTGAGTTTTCTATGATTGTCTGTGTAAAGAAAAGGAAAATGGGATTTACTTTTAACAGTTTATGGAGATTAAATATTATAGTTGCTTTAGGAATTAATTGACCAAAGTTGTTTTGTGTAATGTAATCTAAGCATATTCATAAAAACTTTGAATTTATTTCATTGTGCAACATTGGTTGATTATTTTACACATAATTAAGAAAAAAAAAAAAAAAATTGGAAATGGGTACACATTATTATCAGAGAATTGGACAGCTACGGCGTCGTTTCTTCTCACCATTTGACTTGAAAGACTTCCGCTCATGCTCATGGATTTGGGTTCCTGCTTTCTCCCTCTTCTTTTCTCTTCTTCTGCATACCAAACAATCAATCAGTACATTTTGGCATGAGCATTGAAATATAATGTTCAAGTTCAACTCTTCCACCCTTTACTATTTTTATTATTATTTTTTTAAATGAATAAGATAATAAAAGTATTCTTAAAATTACTGACTGCATTACCTAATACAACTATTAATTTAGTGGTTATCAACTCTTTCTAATTCTAATATTGTTAAAGCATCTTATATAGTCTTTTAATTTATTCAAAACTTTTGTATGTGAAATTAGTGTAATTAAAATATATGTGTATATTCCATTGTCCTTGCATTATCAAATATTAGATTTAAACTTAAAATACTTAACAATAAAATTAACAAATTTTAAAGCTTTCTTGGCTTTGACTATTTGATATTTATTGAATTATTGTAGATTGATGTAATTTTAATATAATAAAATATTCAAACTGTTTAATTGGTTTGAGTTTTAAAATTAAAATTTAATGTGAAATTAATTATATTTAAACATCAAAAGCGGTTTCGGATGTATTTGTGAAAAGAATGTTTGATTTTATAAAGTAAAAAAGAAACGATAAGGTTTAATTTGGGACATCTAATTCTATTTATTTAGATTTGGTTAAAAAGAAGAACATAATATTCCAACCCTAAAAGAAAAAGAGAAAATATGATTCTAAAAGCGAGGACATTGATTAAAGACCGAGGAGATCTGGAGATGCCACTCCAGAGGATAAGGTCGGTTCATGCACAGATGCCCAAATCAACAAATCAGAATAAAATTTGNAACGTTATACATACACAATTATATCGGTTAGGATCTCAACTTGTGTGTGAAACATTATTGTTATAAAATTATTAACATGTTTTTAGGAATTGGTTCAACAAGACCACCAGAATAGAAGCTGGCTGACCTATGAATTGGATTGCATTATGGAGTTGGAGGAGGAGGATATAAATTAATAATTGAGGTTGCACTGTAACCAGTGCATTTAAGCTATACGCAATCATGTGTTTTGAGGGGCCAGAAGATTGTCCAATATCTTTAAACGATCCTAACTTTTTTAATAAAAAGTTTTTATTGTGATAAAACATGAAAAAAAGTCTTTTATTTGTTTCGTATGAACGCATCTCTCTGAAAATAAAATTACCTCAAAATGTATGCGAGATTTGGGCCACCAACTCTACCACAAAAGCCCAAAAATTTAGCAATACAACCAGTTCTAATAATAAACCTGCATTTGTTCTGTAACACATTCTCCAGTCTATCTCACAGAAAACCCAGCAACAGAAAAGTGCAACCTGCGTTTATACTTTCATAACCAAGTGCCACAAAGAAGGAATACAACCTAAATGATGTGTTTGGATTCATACACATGGAGTTCATCATTGTTTTTGGGCTTCGTGTGTCACTCCTTCTTCTTCATTTTCAACTTCGCTTCAACATCTCCACTGTAGGGTGCAACATGGTATGCGTACTGCTGGAAAACAGCGAAGACTACCATTTCCAGACACACTAATACATTCTGAATAGCTTCCTCAATGTGCTCAACGTCTAACCAGAAATGATGAGACCGAATGATGCCAACGGCTGCCAGTATCTCAAGCACCACACCCTGCAATTGTCAAAAGAACAAATATGGCATTTGTGAGCAAGAAATGGTATTCATGCAATACAGTGTTTATGAAAAACAAATCAAAGAAAAAATGGAAATTTGGGCAGAATGGAAACTAAGAGAGAAAAAAGGCAACCGTCAACTCCATGTTATCGTGATGGGTACTCCGATCATTCAAATCACTGCAACTTCCAAGCAATTGCAGCCAAAGCAATTACTGTAATCACTCTTTAAGATTACTTAATCCAATTACTTGATTCTTAGAACTCCTATCAAAAGAAATTAAGTGCTTAAACTTCTTCCCAGTCATTGGCGAATAGAGTTACCTAAAAACAAGTTGAAGGTCAATAGAACGACAAAAAGCTTTCAATCTGCCACTTGAATCAATATCAAGAATTTAAAGGTGTTCATGAGGCCTAATCATTACATTTTTTCCTTCGCAAGTCCAAAAGCAAGTCAATAAAATGACGAAGCCTTTTTCCAAAAGACACAATAACTTGAGGCCTGAAGCCCATATCAGGAAGTACATTCTGAGGCATCCAGCTAAACAAGGACTCAATCAATTAAAATGATGCTAAATGGTCCATTAAAATTCAGGTGATCCAGACACACTTGCTTATGTTAGCATTTAACACTAGAACTTTCTAGGTTGACTCCACAAAGAGAAACTTCTCCACCATCTTGAATTAAGCAATGAATTTTTTTTTTTTTTTTTAAAGAAGAGGACTACAGAAGGTCCCCAAATGCTAGCTATAGGTTGCAGTTCTGCTTACATAGTAATCGAAAATGCTACAGCCTTTGCCTATTCATCTATTCTATGCTGTGATATACTGGAGTAGTTTTTATGCTGGTGCTCTGTTGTTTACAATTTTTAAGGGCTCTTGTGTCCTTGAGAACCTTTGGGGTTTGCATTTCAACTTCTTTTGAAGATCAAAATAAACTTATCTATTGTGAAAAGGAATAGGGTGAGAGATTTTACCTGCCAAAAGCAAAAGAAAACAATGCCCTTGATGCACATGAACTTCGCAAGCGGCTTGTGTGGTGCCAGCTCTTTTGCAAAAACGTGGTAAAAGATCACCAAAGAATATAATGCCAATGAAACAGAGATGTTCAGAATGACGGTAAATGTCCAGCTCAACCAAGTTGGATACATCCCAAGAATTTGCAATGTGATCATCAAGATGGAACATATTGGGCGGATAGCAACAAACTGCCATGTCCAATATTTGAGAAGCTTCAGTGTATGTTGATCCAGTCGGACTGTACGAGGCTGCAATTTGTGAAAAGAGTGTCAAAATTACAACCATTTGGTCATTAAGTTTCAAATCATTTAAACAAACCAAAACTATAATTTGCATTCAGATCCGGCTTTCATCACATCAGCTATAAATCACGTGTAACAACAACAAACACCATAAAAAGAATAAGTTACCACATTTCCTCCCTGATTAGTTTAGAGATTTTTACAGTAAACTAATAAGAACAGAAAATAAAAAAAAATATTCTCCATTATCTTTCTTACCAATTTAACCATAAACATCTGTTGAAAAAGGAACTCTTTTTTTTCTTTTGGATAACTCAGAAATCTTCCTAACCACTTTGTGAACTTGAATCGGAAATCAGGGGCACTGTTGAACCCTAAGCAGGAAACTTGTGGTTTTGCCATGTAAGTGATATTCATGAAATTAACCATTCCACTAATCCATCATGATCTATCTGGATGCATTTGTGTCTTTCCTAATTTCTTTGCCTCTGTAGAAGAGTCAACTATTGAAGCTTGTTTATAAGCTGATAAAAGTATGAGGTTCTAACGACCATCCAAAACACCATATAACAATTGAATAACCAATAAAGCTTTAATACTAGAAGCTCTTGTCACATAAGCCGTATAAAACAACACATACCTGGAAAAGAGTCATTGGAAATGAGTGATGAATCTCTCTTCCTTTAATTCCATCCGGCACAATATTATTGCTAATTGATATATTCAAGTAACTATACATCAAAGCCATAAACTTAGCAATCACCTGCACACAAACACACTCTCAAACACTTGAATTCCTAATTATCCAAACACACAAACAACAAGTAAATGAGCGAGTGCGAGAGACACTAACCAAAGCCTCATAACACTCCTTAACGGAGTCAAGAAGCATGAAGAAGGCTTTGCTGCCTCTAATATCCAACAAGCCTACAAAAGAATCAACAGCATAAATTGGCGCCATAAGAATAATTATGACTATAGCTTTCTGTTCCTTAGGGTTTTTCCAGTAAAAGAGATGCTGAGACAACAGTTGAACCGTGAAATGCATTGTCACCATCACGCAGAAGCCTACTCCGACCAGAGTTATCTGCTCCCGGCTCATTCTACTGAGATCCATTCTTCGCCGGCTTCAAACACGGTCGGCCGGAATCAAACTGATCAAAACTCTAGAAATTCGATGATTTCTTGATTTCGTTTTAGCGAATTTGAAATTTCATAAGCTTGGGATTTTGTTTGATTGATGATTGAATTTTTGTATCGTGGGACCGATCGCCAACACGCTCTCAACACTAATAGCACGCTGCAAGATTTTGACACGTAAGATAGAGTTGGAAAAGTAACCCGTCCAGCCCGCCTGACCTGCGACAGCTTACTCATTTTGATGAGTCGATCCTAACCCGCCCACCAACAAAGGCAGGCCGGGTTAGGCCTGTCAATTTTGGGGGATTAGCTGGCCCAACTAGGCCCGCCAACCCTAACCCACCGGGTTAGGCTGCGAGTCGGCCGAGTTTAACACCCCCCCCTCTCTTTTCTTTTTTTTGTTTTGTTTTGTTTTGTTTAAGTTTAAATGTTTAATTAACTTTTCAAATGAATAATTAACAATTTATAAATGAATAAATGTAATTGTTTTTAGTTAACTTCTTTTCAAATATCAATAATTAAATTAAATCAATTTTTTTTGGTTAACATTTCAAATATTAATTCAATTTTAATACATTAAAATTGTAATATAAGAAAATTTTAATTTATTCATTTATCAAAAAATAAAATAAAAAATTACAATAATTATTGCTTCGTTAAAAACCTCACCAAGAAAAACCCAATGGGACAAAAACTTGGTAAGGAAAAAAGAGTGCAATAATTGACAATTAATTTACAAGTTACAATTTACAAAACAACTAATTTTGGGGTTGACTAGGACCCTCTTCATCCGTATTATCTATATTACAAAATTGAAATGATTCTATTAAAGTATCGCCGAGAATCTAGTGTTGATTTTGATGGCGCGATCGTTCCCAATCTCGAAGACATGTGAGGACTTAAATCATTTTTTGTGAAAGTTTAGTCCTCCTTTCATTTAAAATTCCTCCACTTGCACTAAATGTTTGTTCGGATGAGACGGTTGAGACTGGAACAACAAAAACATCCAAGACAAGTCTTGATAATACTGGAAAAATACATTTTCTGGTTTTCCAATATTTCAAGACATCAAAGTTGACTCTTTGTTGTGGATCTGTTGTTAACATTTCAGGATTTCCCAAATATTGTTGAAGCTCGTTACTCTGTGACTGCATGGCGGACAGTAGATTCGTTGTTGCCGTTGGTGCTTCTGAAGAGGAGGCTAGGCCTGTGCTTCGGGTTCGGTTCCTTTTCTGCCTATTAAATGCACTCCAGCTGTAGAAGTCTTCATTTGTTTCTTCTGATGCAACTTCCCTATGTATTTTGTGTCTTTGCGGGTTCCCATATCTGTTTTTATATTGGAAATATTGTTAGTAAACGGTCCCGTATACGCAGCGGAAACAAAAAAAAAAAAAAATATAATACAAAGATCGTTTACATTAGCCAAGATCAAGGGTATAATTTTACAATTCATATTAAAGCAAGAATCTGCAGAAATTAATAATCTGTGTTTAGAAACCATACGCACGTTTGGAGGCTCCACCACGATTGTCTTTGAATGTTTTGTTACCGATCCAAGTGTAGGATCGAACCCACGTAGTCCACACAAAGACAATCTCAAAAGAACCAAAGAGGGATTTGCTAGATCCTCTTTGGCTTCAAGATTAAGAAGAAAAGAAAAATCAATGAAATTGATTTCAAGGCAAAATGAATCTGTCGTGGGAGTGTCAATATTTGGGGGCTGTGTGTTTTGCTTTCAAAGTGAAAATCAACTAATGAAAAATCACATCCCTTTTTTACATTTAATTTTTCTTTTATAGTAAAATCTTAATGCCATATTCCCATATGGAATAGGTTTGGGCTCCAACTCAAACACCCCATGTTTTCAAACACTCCCAATTTGATATTTTATTAATTTCATCATTATCTCAATTAAACTCAATTAATATATATTTAATATATATATATATATTAACATTTAACAATAATGATGATTTAATTAAATATATGCGAACGCATATTTAAACGTAATTTCATTTATTTAATTTTTCTAATAAATTAAATAAAGGCTACGACCTCAGCAAATTTAATTGTACTGTGAAATTACCAAAATACTCTTTTGCCTAAAAAGACGAAAACACCCTTCTTTCTTCTTGGATCTTAAATTATCTTCTATGTGTATGACCCATAGGCTCCTCATCATATTGGCAATGTATAGTATCGCGGTTAACACCAATTAATCATCTCACTAATACACAGACCAAGATTGGCCCCTAGCAAGGCATCATGGCCACCCGATAGATTCAGATTCAGCAAAGTAGCTACCTGTCAACGATATGGTTACCGTACAATTCGATCCTTTCATCATACGTTATCTCGACGAGACGAAGGCATAGAAATAGTGTCAACCTTCGGTTACTCTCGATATTATGTATTCAGTTTCTGGACCAATGACCCGTATTATAAACTGGATAGAGCAACAACTCAATCCCACTGTGGCCACAGTTTTAGTGTCATTGCCATATACTGAATTGCGCCGTGAGATAACTTTCTCCCGTACCCGGGAGTGATAAATCCTCTGTCAATCCACCATAGTCTTGATACACTCCTTGATGCAGCCAATCACCACCGTATTGACAGCTCTGAAAAGAACTGCGTTAGGCTAGTGTCAAACTACACCAATCGGTGCACAAGGCGCTCCGGTGATCTCAAGTCTAAGGATCACATGCACCACCATTCGTTAGAGGATTTGTTCCATAGACACTAGGGTTACCATCCATATGGAATCCTCTGGTGGGTCAGTCCAGTGAACTTGCTGCGGTGTAATCGCCTACAGCAAGCACCCATGTGTTGCACCAGGTTGTCACCAAACAACCTTGACAAGTGAGATCAGTCACTGCCTTTCGATATGGTCGTTCAACACTATGATAGCCTTATCGTATTATCTGTGCCCTTATTTCAGAATAATACTGGGGCTATGGACGTTTCTAGAATTGCCACCATATGTGGTCATAGGGTTCTCACTATCAAGATTTGAAACACTTGATACCCTCGTCATGGTTCTACCATCCTAAGGACATATATCAATACATATTACAATAATAATGATTTACGCGATATAGTATAAAATGCTTTTTATTGATTAATAAACATTATTACAAAGAGTCAATTCCACAATAATTGATTGGCTCTAGAGCACCTACTCCAACAAATATACCTCTGCAAGACAATTTTTTACCATTTGATTGACAAATGCTAAGTTTTGTAAATTTTCAGTTAATGTCTCTAAACCATTTTCTAAACCTTTTTGTTTAATTCTAGGATAAAAAATGGCACCTAAACAATAAAGAAAATGAATGAGTTTAAAATATTAAAAAAAAAAATTCCATTGCCTTTATTGGTTCTTTTAAAATTTCATTGTTTTTGTTTTTTGTAAATAACTCTAAAATTTTTATAATTGTATGTATTACCAATGAACTAGTAGGATAATACACACCAGAAAATTGTAAAGTGGATTGGTAAAAAATTTTAAGAAAAGAATGAAATACTTTGGCTATTTGCCAATCATTTTCTACCAAATAATGATGACCTCTATTATTTGCTACAAAATAACTAATTAAATTAGGATAAGGTAAACATGAATCAAGCATTAAATAAGTACTATTCCATCTAACAGGTATGTCTAATGCAAAAGTTCTAGGAAACATATTTGATTTCATACAAGCATCTTGAAATTCAGCATTTCTTTTAGGGTGCTTTTGGTTCGGGGTAAAATAAGATAAATCCTGTAATCTTTGTTTAATTTTCAAGATTCCCTCATTTGGTTGTCAAGTAATATAATATTACAGTAATATTTTATTGCAAATAGTGGTTACTATTGGTAATATTGGGGGTAATCAGATTACCTTCCCAGGGGGTGTTAATGTTGGATTACCGGGGTAATCATAATTTTTGCCCTATTTTGCTCTTAATATTTTATCATTCTGGACACATTTGCCCTTATATATCCTTTAAATTACAAGTATCCCATATTGAGTTAGGATGACTTTTCTGGCCCCCATATTCAATTTATAGAGACAAAAAAGCCCCTGATATTTGAAAAAACTACAATATATATATTAAAAGTTGGATTAAACCCTAATCCACCATCGTTTTTTCTTTTCCTCCACAACGAAAAGCAGCGATGCTATTAGGGTTCTGTTTCTTCTCCAATCGACGCGAAGCACACTAGGTTGGTTCCTTTCACTGAACATTTGTGTTGCTGTTTATTAAATCGTATACTGATGCATTGATTTTTGTTTGTCGTCGAGCAGTTCCAGTCCCCAAGTGCAGCAATTTTTCTCTATCAATCTCCGTCACTTTAATCGAGTTAGGTGAGTTATGTTTAATTGTATTTTGTGTGATTCAATTCACCATTTTCAGTAATCAAACAACTTCGACGAAAAGGGTCAATTTTTTTTGTCCATTCATACACGGAACTGCTCCTAAATATATTGATCTTGTGTTTGAATGAAAAGGGGATTGTTGTTGGCATGCTAATGTTGGTTTGAAGTGTCAGTGTTTGGGCATGGTTTGATGGTCTGTAGTTTTTAATCTGATATGGTCGCTGTAGAGAATGGAGCATGCTAGTTTAAATTCTAGGTTATGCTTCCCTGTTTTGTTTCAAATTGTGTTGTTTGAATTTGGGTTTGTTAAGGCCGTATGCATGTGTGATGCAGTGATTGTGTGGATGTTGTTTTTCTGTGATGTGCTGTTTGAAATGGCTGGCTCTATCTTCCTAAACTGTATGCATTCGTAGCCTGTGGGTTTTACATTTTGTTGTTTGGGTTTATGTGGTTGCCATTCCACAGTTTGTCTTGACTGTCTAGTGTAGGGGTTTTGGTGCTGATGTATTTTGAATTGTGAAGTGAAATGGTATAGGTGTTTGTGAGTAATATTATGCTTGTTGGTACATGGAGTAGGTGAAACAATCATGGCTCGTTTACCCCTAAGGCAGAAGATGCGTTTGGTCACAATCTTACTTTTGCAATTGCACATGATGGAAAGCATGTTCGCCATGTTTCTAATTGTTGGGCTTGCTATGCTGCATAGGAATAGGAATACTAGGGGTTTTATAACTTACACGGGTAGGTGTTATTTGAGAGCAATGGGTAGGTGTCCTATAAGATATGCGGCC